AGGGTGGGGGTGGGAAACGGGTGGAGGGGAGCTATGGGGGGAAAAAGAGGAACAACTGTAATAATCTGAACAGTAAAGATTTAATTTAAAAAAAATAAAAAAATTAAACAAAACAAAAAACTCACAAAGACAATGGTGTGGTGATTACCAGAAGGAAAGGGGAATGGGGAGAGGCTGAAGAAGGTAAAGGGAGGATAAATTGTGATGGAAGGAGACTTGACTTCAGGTGATGAACACACAACATACAGATGATGTATTATAGAATTGTACACCTAAAACCTATATAATTTTATTAACCAATGTCACCCCAATAAATTCAATAAAAAATAAATGCTGATTATTTTAATTCAAAAAATCTACTATATTTTAAATGGTGGGTATTAATAAAAAGATATTCCATTAAAAATGCTCCTTTGTAAAAAGAAAATAAGTTGCATCAAAGTAATGAGAGAGATCTGCCCCGTGGAACTGAGATGTCCACATTGATGCCACCATGCTCTGCAGGCAGGGTGCCAGGACCACATTGAAAGGGCAGGCCTTCTTGGGATGAGAGCATGTTGGCCACTGCTTTCCACTTAAATCTTACCCAGCAAACTTCTAGAAGTCTAAGGAATAAGTAGGATGGACAGATATAATTCTGCTGTCTGGCAAAGAGTATGCACCCAAAAAAATGTGTCTGGAATGAAAGATACCACAGAGGTATCATGGTCAGCTGTCAACTTAAAAGGTATTTTATCTCCAAAGAAGTGGTAAGGGGAACCAAAATGGCGGCATAGATAAATGCCTGTACTTGCTGCCTCCCACGACCACATCAAAATTACAATTAAAATACAGAACAACTATCATCCAGAACTGTGGGAAAGCTGGCTGAGTGGAAGTACTACAACTAGAGAGGTGAAGAAGAAAGTGCATTGAGACTGGTAGGAGGTACAAAGGCATGGAACGGGCTGGTCCAGAACCCAGGTGTGCCGCTTTTTTAATTGGGAGGGAGATCGCCTCTGCAGAGGCTGCCTGGAGGAGCAAGGAGTCCAGCCCCACACCAGACCCCCATCCCAGAGTTCCACAGCTGGGGAAAGAAGTCCCTACGGGCAGTAAGAACTACTGACTGTAAAAACCAGTGTGGATTGGGGCTGAGTGACACACAGGCTGCTAGAGACCTGGCTGCTCCTCTTAAAAGGCCGGCACCATGAACTGAATTTACAAGCTCCCGCTTGCTCTGAGCTCCAGTGCCAGATGAGGCTCTGGGGGACCCCAACACATACAGGGAGAAACTGGACTGTCTGGCATTAGGGCAAGAACTCAGGGGCTGCTTTCTTCCAGACAGAGGTGCTCGCAGCAGTCATTGTTCCCCTGCTGGGACCTTCCTGATGCAGGGCTGACTGGCAGACATTTCTCTTCACTCAGCCCTGGAAATTCCCTCAGACCCCGCCCCACCCAGTTTACAACCCCACCAAAGCTGTGCACAGTGGCTTTTGCATATGAATGGCCTGTCCTTTTTCAGCCTAAAACCTTGTCAAACAAGCTGCAGCTGGGTCAGGGAGCCCCAAAGCTATCAATAAAAGGCCCAAGGCTAGCATCAGCACCAGCCTGCCTTGCATCAGAGCTAGGCCTCATCTGGGCACTTCCAAACCTGATACAAAGAAGATAAATCTGAAGATCTCTCTGTAGCTCCTGCTGGGTGGCCCCAGGCAGTGGCTGACTTTGCATCTCCTTGGAGATCCAAGAGCCAGTGTACCCAGTGGTCAGTGTGAGATCATGCCAGATTACAACTCCTCACATCCATAAGCGACACACCCAGTGAGCACCAAAGCCCCACTGAAGCAAGTCCTGCCCCATAAGGGTGTCTCCTGCACAGCAGCTCTCCCACTGGTCCCCACAGCCAATTAGCCTGGAGGTCGATTCCTCCCAGTGACACTAACAGCAATCAAAGATCAACTACAGTAAGACTGTGCACACAGCCCACAAAGGGGTGCACGAAGAGTGTCCACGTCAGGTGGTTGGGGCGGCTGAGACACTGGGCTCTATAGGACACCTACTACACAAGGCCACTCTATCAACTCAAGGAGACTTAGCAGCTACTGAGTACATAGAAACAAACACTGGGAAGCAGTCAAAATTCAGAGACAAAGAAACATGTCACAAATGAAAGAAATGGGAGAAAACAAACTACTGGATATAGAGTTCAAAACCACAGTTGTAAGGTTACTCAAGAATCTTCTAGAAATCACTGAGTAACTTAATGAGACCTTTAAGGATCTTAGTGAAAATGCCAAAAAAAATGGAAAAGGACCAGTCAGAAATTAAGCATACACTGACTGATATAAAAAGTAATATACAGGGATTTAACAGTAACCTAGAGGATCCCAAGAATCAATTCGATGATTTGAAATACGAGGAAGCAAAAAACACCCAACCAGAAGAGCAAAAAGAAAAAAGAAACCAAAAATATGAAGATAGTGTAAGGAGCTTCTGGGACAACTTCAAGTGTGCCAACATCTGAATTATGGGGATGCCAGAAGAAGAGAGAGAGCAAGATATTGAAAACCTATTTGAAGAAATAATTACAGAAAGCTTCCCCTATCTGGTGAAAGAAATAGACTTACAAGTCCAGGAAACGCAGAGAACCCCAAACAAAAGGAATCCAAACAGGACCACACCAAGACACATCATAATTAAAATGCCAAGGGCAAAAGACAAAGAGAGAGAATCTTAAAAGCAGCAAGAGAAAAACAGTCAGTTACCTACAAGGGAGTACCCATACGACTGTCAGCTGATTTCTCAATAGAAACTATGCAGGCCAGAAGGGAGTGGCAAGAAATATTCAAAATGATGAATAGCAAGAACCTACAACCAAGATTACTTTACCCGGCAAAGCTATCATTCAGAATGAAGGTCAGATAAAGAGCATTATATGAAATGCTGAAAGGTATCCTTTAAGAAGAGGAAGAAGAAAAAGGTAAAGATAAAAATTATGAATAACAAATACATATCTATCAACAAGTGAATCTAAAAATCAAGTGAATAAATAATCTGATGAACAGAATAAACTGGTGAATATGATAGAATCAGGGGCATAGAAAAGGAGTGGAGTGACAATTCTCGGGGGTGGGAAAGAGGTGTGGGGGATGCGGGAAGAGACTGGAAAAAAATTGTACACCTATGGATGAGGACAGTGGGGGGGTGTAAGGGCATAGGGTGGGGTGGGAACTGGGTGGAAGGGAGCTATGTGGGGAAAAAGAGGAACAGCTGTAATAATCTGAACAATAAAGATTTAATTAAAAAAACAAGTGAATCTAAAAATCAAATGAATAAAAAATCTGATGAACAGAATAAACTGGTGAATGAAATAGAATCAGAGGCCTTGAAATAGAACAGACTAACAATTCTCAGAGGGAAAGGGGTGTAAGGGGTGCGGGAAGAGATTAGACAAAGATCTTATATGCATGCATGCATTACCTATGGACACAGACAATAGGGTGGCAAGGTCCTGGAGTGGGGTGGGAACCGAGTGGTGGGGAGCTATAGTGGGGGGGAAGAGGGACATCTATGATAATCTCAACAATAAAGATTTTTTTAAAAAAGAAGTGGTAAGCTTCATTTTAAAAAGCCAGTAGCTAGAAGAGGTCTAGTGATTGCTCATAAATGTCAAAGCTGAAGGTATTACAAATACCCATAAATTACAAATAAATCGATATTTTTGTTCAAATCTTTATTTTATATCAGCAAGATGATGTCTAAGACAGACACCTGAAAATTGGCCTTTTTCATAGTTTTCTTCACTATGGTATCTTTCCTTATACTTTATATAAATATGTAGTGAATGGTATTGTCATTTATTCTATTAGTGATGATTTCTATTTATCTAAACCTAATATTATATTTTCAGTTTATTATACCTGTTAGAAACTTAGAGGTCAGAGGTTTTCATGTCGACCTGTGAATGTAGAGAAACCTAGAGGAACTACATTCAAAGACAGTATTAAGCCCATAGTACATACGGTAAGGCTTCAAAATTGATTTATCATATTAATGCCACAAATGCTGGGTTCTGAGGCAGGTGATGTGACTACAAGGGGGAAAAGACATGGTCTACAGAAGTGTCTCGATTTCCAGTAGTTCAACCATTTAAAATAACTCTAAAATTACAGGATCAATGGCTTTTGTGGAAATATTCCAAACACTTTCTGAACATAATATATTAGCCTAAAAATAAAGTTAGGTCTAAATTATTATGCATGTGGAATCATATTTTCAGGAACTAACTATAGGAGCTTTCTATTCAATACCTTATAAATCTTTCCTAAGGGAAGTGATCATCGCACCACCATTGTTTTACATAAATGTGGATCTCTATATACAGAGAGACACTTCCCATTCACATGGAACATGTTCTAGACTGCTTTGAATCCGTAAGTATTTTGACGATGATGGAGGAAAAAGAGCTTTATTTCTGAAACAAAATTCTGACACCACTGTCCATATTACTCTACAAAGTTATCCCCTTGTCAATGTTTTTCACAATTCTTCTAGCTAAATAAAGAATAATGTGATACATTCATAGAAGCTAAGACAGCTAATACTTTTTTTGGGGGGATGCCCTTGACTAGAATCAAACCCGGGACATTTTAGTCCACAGGCCGATGCTCTATCTACTGAGCTAAACCACTGAGGGATAGAAGCTAATACTTTTAATTAATTCTCCAACTATCTTCTGGATCTGAATGCCTCTAGACCAAAAGAACTGTTAAAATCTTTCCCTCTGAAAAATGTTTGGGACCTTTTCTCAGAAGGTCTATGATAGGCAGCAACAGTGGTCCAAAATATCCAAGACTCCCAATGTGGTACTGGATTAAGTGTGCTTACAGTTAAACACACCTCTAAAACACATTAAAGGAGATTTAAAAAAAAAAAAAAAAACCCTAGATAAACATTCAAGCAACAGGAGGCAGACTATTACTTTAATATAGGCAAGGAAGATTTTTATTAAAGAAGGTATTTACCATTTGAGTTTCCTCAATACTTATCTCTAATCCTTGCTCTGTTTGCACTGGAGATGATCTGTGCGCGTACATTTTTCCCATTAAAGAAATATCCTTGAAGGAAAAAAATAAATAATTAAATTAGTGTCAATTTTAAAAATCATCGAGGCATATTATTCAATGCAGCAAAATGCTAGTCAATATAGTTCAGTAGCCGAAACCGGTTTGGCTCAGTGGATAGAGCGTCGGCCTGCGGACTGAAGGGTCCCAGGTTCGATTCCGGTCGAGGGCATGTACCTTGGTTGCAGGCACATCCCCAGTGGGGAGTGTGCAGGAGGCAGCTGGTCGGTGTTTCTCTCTCATCGATGTTTCTAACTCTCTATCTCTCTCCTTTCCTCTCTGTAAAAACTCAATAAAATATATTTAAAAAAAAAAAAAATATATAGTTCAGTAAATGAGGACTATATAAAAGAGAAATATAAGCAAGTCAATATTATGCATGAAATGAGAAATACAGAAAAAAAGATACAATAAAACATGTTGTCTATTATTCCAATGTTATGGCTTTTAAAAATCATTGATCTCTATAGGTATATTATCAGATTGAATAAGACAATTAGGTAATATTAAGTCAGATACTGTAAATCACTGCTATTAAATATTTACACAAGAAAGATAAAATCAAAGCTAAAATTTAATCTAACCAAGAGCAAGAAATAATATGAACATACTTAAAGTTTAAAAGGTATAACTGTTAGTGTCATTTTTGTTATTACTAACGCTAAATTCTATATTATACTCTCTACACAGCTGAAATGGTAAGAAGACAGCACAGCACAATATCTAACACTGGATAGGAAAAAAGAGACCCAACTTCTACCCAAACTGTAAAGACACAGATTAAACGTCAACAGAAGTTATTTTGCTTCCCTTCAATTTCATCTTCATACATGACTTTTCTCCCCTAGCCTTTTAATAATGTCAATAGCAATATATGGACCTTTATTGTGCTTTAAAACTCTGTTTTCCTACCTTTTCTTTACTACATTACAAAAAAAATCCATCTGAGACCACTGACTTCTACTCTACCCTCTTGTCATAAATAACTATAAAACTGAACAAAACATGAGAACAACAGGCAATACAAGAGTATGATGACTAAGAATATGGATGCAAAAAAAGGTTAAGAGCTAAATTACCCCAGATTTCTGCTTTACACAATCTCCAGAACATGACACAATGAAGGGGAAACCATACAGCGCCCAGTGTCTTACTGAGTTGAAGAGACAGAAATTAGAATAAGAAGACAAAGAGGGTAGAATTTGTTAGGCACAGTATGGAGAAAGAGGCTTCAGAAATCTGCAGAAACCCCCAAAGAGTCCTTGACTCTGGCTGAATACCAATTCTCACGTGCAAGGGTGAAATCCATGAGGCCAGACAAAGAAAAACTGCCAATGGGGATGGAGGGGAGGGACAATTACCAAAAAGCTGTAAGCCACAATTCCCAGAGCTCAGGCAAGCTGGGAATCATTAGCTCTTCCACCAGACAGAGTACATGGTACATTCATCATAAACCTCAGAAGGGTCGTACATTGGTAGCAGTGCTAAATGAGCTCCAAAGTAAGGCTCCTCTGAACTTGAACATTTTAAATAATACTTAAAAAGATACAGGTGATCTTCGGGTAGCTTAACTGACTATTAGATTAAACTCTAACGCTTTTTAAAATGAAAACAACCAAATCCAGTACTATAATTTTCATCATTCAATCAGAAGATATTAATTATAGAAAAATCAAAAAATATATAATATACAACCAGGAGAAAAATAAGTAGGAAAAAAAACAGATATGAGAGATGCTGAAACGAGAAGATACGAATGTTTGGGACATTAGCTGAGAAGGTCTTTGATAGGCAGCAACAGTGATCCAAAATATCCAAGACTCCCAATGTGGTACTGGATTAGGTGTGCTTACAGTAAAACACACCTCTAAAACACATTAAAGGAGATTTTAAAAAAACCCTAACATTCAAGCAACAGGAGGCAGACTATTACTTTAATATAGGCAAGGAGGATTTTTATTAAAGAAGGTATTTACCATTTGAGGTTCCTCGGTACTTATCTGTAACCCTAGCTCTGTTTGCATGTGAGATGATCTGTGCCTGTACATTTTTCCTGTTAAAGGAATATCCTTGAAGGAAAAAAAGAAATAATTAAAATAATGTCAATTTTAAAAATCATCAAGGCATATAATACAAATACTATAAATATTCAAAAAGATAAACATAAGGAGGATTTAGTGTACGGTATAAAATAAAAACCAAATGGAATATCTACAAAAAACATACATTTAAAAAAAAATTTTCATTGGGTGGCATAATAGCAAAGAAGACATTGCAGAAGAAAATATCAGTTCATTAAGACATAGGAATAGAAGCTATACAAAATGATTTACAGAGAGATATAAAAACTAAAACAAATATTCACTCTAACATACATTTTAATTAGAGTTCCAGAAAGAGGTATGGAGAAAGGAGAAAATATTTGTACAAAAAATGGCCGAAAGATTCCAAATTTTATGACAACTATAAACCTCATACTGCAAGAAGCTCCATGAACTCTTAGCAGAAACACACAAAAAACACTGTGCCAAGCACATTATAATCAAAATTATAAAAACAGCAATAAAGAAAAAAATCTTATAAATATCCAGAGAAACATTAAGTATAAATAAACAAAGAATTACCAGTGACTAATTACCACAAATTAATGCTACAGACTTTTTGTCAGAACTATAGAAGCCAAAAGATAAGGAAGCAACATATTCTAGAATATTTGCACTGAAAAAGACACAATTGTCCACATAGAATTCTATATGTAGAAAAATATCTTTCAAAACCAAAGGTGAACTATCTTTTCAGCAAACAAAAAGTGAAAATATTAAGCATCATCAAACCTGCATTATAAGAAATATTCAAGGAAATTCTTTAAGCAAACAGAAAATTAGATTAAAACTTGAATGTTCACAATGGAAATAAATAGTAAAATGATAAAAATGTCGGTAAATAAAAGACACTTTTTGTTTTTTAATTATTTCTTTAAAATGTAATTAGCTGTTTAAATACAAAATAATGTATTGAGATTTGTAACATATATACATGTGAAGTATCTATACTAATAAAAGCGTAATATGCTAATTAGACTGGATGTCTTCCGAACAACCTTCCAGATGTCCTTCCTGACAAAGCCGGGCCGGGGCAAAGCCACCCACACAACGGTCCCGGGCACCAGTGCCTGCGGCCCGGGAGAAAGAAAAAAGCCCCCGCCCCACGGTCCCAGGATCCTGCGGCTATGGCCTGGGTGGAGCCACCCACCCACAGTTCCCTGTGGCTGCGACTGGACCGGGCAAAGTCGGCCTGGGTCCCTGCGGCCAGTTGGAGGAGGGAATCCTGAGTCCCAGGTGTGGGTCTGAGGCAGAGGTGGTTAGGGGTGATCAGGCCAGCAGGGGAGCAGTTAGGGGCAATCAGGCAGACAGGCAGAGGTACTTAGGGGCGATCAGGTAGGCAAAGGTGGTTAGGGGAAATCAGGGAGGCAGGCAGAGGCATTAGGGGAGATCAGGCAGGCAATTAGGAGCCAGCAGTCCCGGACTGCAAGAGACATGTCTGACTGCCAGTCTAAACTGGCAGTTGGACATCCCCTAAGGGGTCCTGGATTGGAGAGGGTGCAGGCCGGGCTGAGGGGACTGCCTCCCCCCCCTGCCCACACCAGTGCATAAATTTCATGCACCAGGCCTCTAGTGCATTAATAATAGTACAATGATGGAAAAAGGAAAAAATATATTGCTATAAGGCCCTTATACTATATGTAAAATGGTATATTATTTCCTGGGATAAGTTAAATATGCATATTATAAACAATATAGCAGTCACTAAAATAATAAAGAGATAAATAAGCAAATCATATGGAATAATATGAAATGCTAAAAAAGTAATAAAAGAATAGTAAAGAGAAAAAAAGAAACAAATGTGACAAATAAAAACCAAATAACAACATAATAAATATAAACCAAATCATATCAATAATTACATGTGAATGGTTCTAAACATTTAAATTGAAAGACAGATTACCAAACTGCAGAAGAAAAACAAGATCTCACAGTATGATTATTATAAAAAATATACTTTTAAGTATAAAGACATAAATAGGTTAAAGTAGAAGGCTGAAAGAAGATATAACATGCAAATACTAATTATAAAAAACTGGAGAGGCTATAATTATATCAGACATGGTAGACCTCGAAACAAGAAATATTAGCAGAAGAAAGAGGATTACTTCATAATAAAAGTGTCAAGTTCCTCAGAAGACATAAAAGTACACACTAATGACAAACCTTCAAAGGACATAAAACAAAAAACTAACAGAACTGAGAATAAAAATAGAATATTTTATTATTATAGTTGGAAATTTCAAACCAAGACTATATCTGCTCCAGAGACTTCACAAATATACTAGCCAGACAGTTAATGTGAAATGGGAAAGCCTGCAAAATATTTTGTACAACCTTTTAGGTTTAAAAATATATAATTAAAAGTACTGGTATAAAAAGATAACAATAATAAACACCAAATTCAGAATACAGTTCACATCTGAGGAGGGAAGAAATTATTGTAAAGAAGTACAAAGGAGGCCTGTACTTTCCTTGCAATTTTCAGTTTATTTAAACAATCTGAGGGCTATATGAAAAATATTAAATTTTGAAGAATCTGAGTGATGCACACTTTTTCTACAGTTAAAATATTTCATAATACAAACACTCTAAAGAAATTTCTCAACCTATTTTAATTGGGTAACATAACAATGTAAAGATAAATAAAAATGTCTTTTTAAAATACCTTATAGTTTACCTCATTTATAATACCTTATAGTTTACCTCATAAATGCAAAAATCTCAAAATATTTACAAATGAAATTAATCAGTATATTTATGGAGAAACCAAGATGGCGGCATAGGTAAACATCTGAAATTGCTGCCTCGCATAACCACTTCAAAAATACAACTAAAAGACAAAACAGACATCATCCAGAACCACAGGAAGCCTGGCTGAGTGGAAATTCT